TTCTTAATGATTTTGATCATTCCCCAAGTTTTCTATAATGATGAGAGAAGGCTAAAAAATGTTCTAACTCAGAATATAATTTTGTATATGTAATACCCAAAAAGAGGCTCAGAATAAAAGAAAAAAGTCAAAAGAAAATCTATAAAATATGGTTCTTAGCTGGTGGAACTATGAGTAGTTTTTTTCTTTATCTTTTTCTATTCTTTACCAGGTTTGTAACATAATTATTTCCATAATTAAAAAATGAAGAAAAATTACTCTTAAAAAATGCAGTTGTCATTAAATTCTCTGCCAATTCTATGAATAGCCATAGCATGTTCAAGCTCTACCTGAAAACTGGCTGTCACCCGAGGACACTTTTTTTCCTACAGTGCTTTAAGGATGGTATTTTCTCTACTACACCCCATGTAATATTGGGAGTTGTGATAACATAAATCCCTCCCTGTTTATCACTATTTCCAGATCATTGCTTCTCCTACTTCCCCCCAAAACACAGTTCCTTTAAGGCCTATGCCATGAGAATATTCCACTCTCTTCCCATCCTGAGTACCAGTATTACAATTGGTGATAGTGCCCCTTCCATTACTAGAGTTCAGCAATGGGCTTACAATCTCTCCACCTCGACCCTTTCATTACTCAGTGTAAATATCCATGTGGACAATCCATCCAATACATGCGGCCTCTCTATGGCAATGTAATCATGGATCCACCTGTGATCATATCTTAGATCTTAAGCTCTCAATCTCAAGTGTCTTACAACCTGAAAACTCTTCCTACTTCTCGAGCTCTTCTCATTCTTCCACTCTAACATGTCTCCCAGAAATCCAACCTACTAACTCTATCACTTCTTTTTCTTTTTTGGCATCTATCACTACCTTTAAATGTTAAATTCACACCACTAGTATCCAGGCCTTATTCCTTTCTTACTTTCCTTCTTACTTACCTGACAAAACCACAGACCTGTTAAATCCAACTCTCTGTCTATGCCATACTTTTTACCAGGTAGCAGAACAAAATTAGAAAAAAACACACATACAAGTATACTGGTTGTTTTTACTTTAAATTCATCACCACAAACTTCAAAGTGGGTCCTCAGTGCTGCCAGGCTATCACACTGCTTCCCTTACCTCTGAAGGCCCTAAAAAGGAACTGACTATAGCTGCTGTCTCCGTTTCTTCCCTTCTCATTCTCTTTTGAAGCTACTCTGAACAGGCTTTCATTCTCATCACTCTTTAGAGTATCTCATTTAAGCTACCAATTATCAGTCCAGCAGCATTTAACTGAGTTGACTGCTCCTTGTTTGAAACACTTTCTTTGAATGGCTCCTTAAACAACCTGTGCTTGCATTCCACTACCCCACCCCCTCACTGGCTGTTCCACTTAACTCCCCTTTGCTGGGGTTGCCTCTATGCCCCACCTTCCCTGGGCTCAGTCTTTAGACCTCTTCTCTTTATCAGTACTCATTCTCTGAGAAAAGCTATCAAGTCTCATGGCTTTAAATAGCATACATGAACTGATAACATTGAAATTTGTATCTTCCACCCAACCTCTTTCCTGAACTCTAGATACATGTTATCTACTGCTCTCTGCCCTGCACATGACACTACAGCCACATTGCCCTTCTCCCTGCTCCTGACTCCTGCCAGGCATGCCCCTGCCTCAGTGTTTACCTTAAGTTCCTCTACCAGGAATTATCTTCTTTTCAAGCCCTTTTAAAATAGTACCCTTTCCCCCTGCTTTATAGCATTTATCACCATATGACATTACATTATATATTTACATGTTCATCTGCTTTGACTTTATATCTTATCAGAATATAAGCTTCATGAGATTATAAAGCTATATAAATCCTTACTTACTGTCTAGCACAGAGTAGGGACTAAAACATTTATTGAATGATTTTAAGATATGTTAAAGTTTTGTGTTTATCTCCAAGATGTGGGCTTATGAGAACATTTCAATAGATAAGGTGTACACTTAAGTAATGTTTGGGTTTTTTACAATCAAATGTGTCACTTTTATAACCATAACAAAGGAAAAGAACAAAAAATAAAAATGTTAAAGCTTAACAGTAATGAAAAAGAATCAAAGTATATGAATTTGAGACCATATATTTATGTAAACTATTGAGAAAAAGTTATATAAATAAGACAGTCAGATTTAGACAGAGATGACATATTGCTGTTATTTTGGAAGCCAACTGTAGTTGATTGGTTGTGGCTGCCGGAAACACTGTATTGAAAGGGACTCTGAGGCTACACTGGGTTGATTAGAAAAGAGGAATGTTTTCCAGGAAAATGGAAGGGGTAGAATTGTGGCATTCATGCCAGATAAATGCCACTGCATGACTTGAAACCTACATGTATACAATTACCAATCCTTTCTTTTCGGCTAAGTGCTCCCAAGAATTCCACATTGGCACATCCACCACCTACTTGCCAGCTCTATATAAATGTCTACTAAGAGATCTCAAACAACCAGAACAGAACTTTTGACCTGCAGTGCTCTTAAAAAACAAATATTATTCTTCCCCTAGTCTTTTTTCTTTTAATGCCTTCATTCACCTTATTGCTCATGTAAAATTTAGGAATTATCCTTGATTCCCTTCTGTCACTCAAACCTGAACTAAATAGTCATATCCATGAGCAAATTTTATTAGCTCTACACCCAAAGCATTTTCTAACTTTATCTGTGTCTCTCTACCTCCTATATTAGCACCTTAGATAAAGCCACTATGGCCTCTCATTTGGTCCACTAGAAGAGCATTCTAGCTGGCCCACCTTTTCATAGTCTTGCTCCCTTATAATTCATTACCTATATAGCAGCCAAAATGATTTTTAAAAGACAAATCAAATAATGTCATTCCCCACAGTTTTCCACTGCACTTAAAATAAACCCAAACTCCTAATTCTGGCTGTTTTTCCCAGTTTCCCAGGCCTGTCTCTCCATCTTTATTTCAAACCACTCACCCCTTCTTCCCTATGCTTCAGTTGTATCAGCCAACACTGTTTTCACTATAGGGCTTTGACACTAGCTGATCCTTAGACTAGAAAACTCTTCCTCTCACAGGCTCTCTTGTGATACTCAGATGTCAGTGTAAATGGCCCCTCTTCAGAAGACTTCCCTTATCACTCAGTCTAAAGTGCCAACTCAGTCATTATCATCCTATCCTAATTCTCTGTACATACAAATATCACCCTGATATTTGAGTGGTTTATTTATTAATTTATTTGTTGTTTCTCCCCTGCTATCATGTAAGATTAGAACAGTATCTTATCTTTTTACCACCCTGATGAGAGGGTCTATATAATAAATACTTGTTGAAAATGATGTGTAATTTTTAAATGTGTTGTACTTCAGTAAAAAAGTTGTGTGTATATGTGTGTTTATTTAATTATTCATGTTTGTGGAATAACTGAATGGGAACTAAGAAGGAATTCTCTATTTGGGATTAGGGAAAGTAATTCTCTAAGGCTGTAAAAACATGGATTTATTTTGATTCAGATCCAAAGTATACCAACTCTTTGCCTGGAGGAGTCCGGTGCTAACTTTACAACAATGAAAAAACAGTTTTCCCTCCTGGAGCTTAAGAAAGAATAAAATAAAGTAAGGCTATTACAATAAAGTAAGTAAATGTTGGGAGAGGTATAGTAAAAGGTGTAATAGGCACACCTCACCCAGCCTGAGTCAGGAAATGCTTCCTGAAGGAAGTGCCATTTAAGCCAAAACCTAATCTGAAGGATGACTAGCTGTGATGTATGTACTTGTGGGAAGGGAGAAGGGCACTCAGTGTCAGAGTATTTTGGAGAGAGGAAATATGATCAATGCCTAGAACCCAGACAGCTTATAACATATTGCCAGGAAACTAAAAGTAATTTACTTTGGCTGGAGCACAGAACATAAATTGAGAGAGCGTGAGAGAGGTAAATGGTTAACATATGCAGCCTCACTAAGAGTTCAGACTTTAGACAGTAAGAAAGAGTCATTAAAAAATTTAAAGTAAGATACTGTTTCTGTGAGTTGCTTACTAGTACAAACAATTTAAAGAAATATAAAAAATAATCTGTTTAAAATTTATATCCCATTTTTTAGACAAAAAATCTGTATTTATGACTAATTTATAAGATTATAATTTCATTGTAATTAGGTCTATCCTATTCAACTACAAGCTATGAAAATCATCATAATCTGCCCTCTAGCTCTGTTATTGCAAAGAAAGTTTTACTGATAATAAAATCATACAGATAAATATATACATATATATATATATATAAATAACACTAAATAATTCAAGACTGAAATAAAGGCCCATATTATTCCATTATTCTGATAAAAATTAAACCAGTATTAAAATGTACCTCAGGGTGAGATAAATTTAAGAGATAATTACAATCTAATTCAACAAAGAGATAATATACAATCTAATTCAACAAGTATTTATTGAGAATTTATATACACTCACACTTTTATACACACACTGGCACCATAGTAGGTAAAAGAGAGAGAGAAAGAGCTAAGAGACAGTGTTTCTCAAGAGTTTTATAACTTAGATAGAGAGACAGACATGAATACATATCAGTAAGCATTTTTATAAGACTTCCAAAATGATAATGATTTTATAATTAAATAGCTTTAGAAGAAGGGACTTCAGTATTATTCTGCATTTGATAGAGCAATGATTTAGAATAAGAATCTAATTACAGTTAAAACATTCTATATTTCCAATGTTCCATTCTATAGACAGACCACTGGATTCAAGAAAATAAATTGTAGACCAAAAATTTTAATTGCTGAATGCCAAAAAGAAACATTAAAACTTAGACAAGAAATAAACGATAAACACAGAAAAAAATAGTAAGATGAAAAGAGAAATAATCTACACAGGAATTTGTTAAAGACCAAAGGAAAAACAACATAATAATGATTTGTATTTAGATCTGTAATTTAAGTAGCATATTTATCTCTTCTAATTTTAATACTTGAAAGTAACTAACACTTACCTTATAACTATTAGCATGGCTATCAGGATTGAACAAATAGGATCTGCTATCATTAAACCAAAATTTTGCATCATGATGGCAGAGGCAATTACACCAATACTCCCAAGTGTATCTGCCAGAATGTGTAAAAATACACCTAGAAAAAAAGCATAATCAGATCAAAATATCTTCTGAACCACTGAAAATGTAAGTACTTCTTAAAACTATATTCTTGGTTTTATATATAAAAAACTAATACCAACATGAAAACTGGAAAGAATGTAGATGCACTGTTTAGTAACATAGGACTAGTACCTTTGGGAACTGAAATAATCTTTCCTTTTTCAAACCAAAAGGGGTTAAAATAGCAAATTATACTTATTCTTAATGAGCCTTAACATTTTCATATAATAGACACTATGAAATACAGAAATAAGCTAATTTTAAAAATTGTTTGAGCACATTCATCTCCAATTACTAGAGTACAGAAGTCAACAAATAACTTTGCTCGAAGAAAACTACTTTAGCCTGGAAGAACAGCTCCAGGAAACATTGTTAACTACAAATATATGTACACACAGAGCCCTCTGCTGGTAATTAAAATTATTACCACTTGAGACTACAATTTCCTATGGGCCCTAACTCTTCTAATCCTGATATACTTATGAAATTATATTGAAGGTTTTATTATCTAAATTACATTCTAAGCTCAAACTTAATATGAAAGAAAGCAGAGATTTGAATTTTTTTTTGAGAGGGCATCTCACATATTTATTGTTCAAATGGTTGTTAACAACAATAAAATACTGTATAGGGGACTCAATGCACAATCATTAATCAACCCCAAGCCTAGTTTCTCAACAGTCTCCAATCTTCTGAAGCATAACGAACAAGTTCTTACATGGTGAACAAATTCTTACATAGTGAATAAGTTCTTACATGGTGAACAGTGCAAGGGCAGTCATCACAGAAACTTTTGGTTTTGATCACGCATTATGAACTATAAACAATCANGCTGAAGTGGTAGGTAGATGCAAGATAAAGGTAGAAAACATAGTTTAGTGCTGTAAGAGGGCAAATGTAGATGATCAGGTGTGTGCCTATAGGCTAAGTATTAATCCAAGCTACACAAGGGCAACAAAACATCCACAGATGCAGAAGATTTCTCTCAAAACAGCGGGGGTGGGATTCTAAGCCTCACCTCTGTTGATCCCCAATTAGAGATTTGAATATTTTAAAATGACATAAATATGTTTTGAACTTTTAATAATCAATATTAACTTGGTAGTATACTAATATTCAAACCATCCAAACCTAGATATAATACTTTGATATTTGTAATTTATAATAATAAATATATATTTGATCTTCATCCCTTTTTCTGGTGCAGAGCTCTTAAAACCCTTGGAATTTCCTAAATGATAAGAGCTGCAAAGGTATCTCTTGATGTTAAGGAGGTTACTTTTGAACTACACATAAGGTTGGGGGCTGACTGACAGGAGAACCAACCATTTGATTTAGAGGATTGGAAACTTTCAGTCCCAACCCCCTGACCTCTGACCTCCAGGTGTTGTAGAATTGGTTGGTGGTATGAGGGAACATCCCTTCCTCATCAGAACTGGGTGCAGAATCTTAGCTGGTGATCAGAAGTGGGATCACAGCCAGAACCCATTAAATATTAACATTTAATAATTGACACTTGACTGGAAAATGCCAAGACATAAGTTTAAAATATATTACTTTTAAAAAGACTTAACTAAGACAATAAATCATTCAACATCTAGATTTTTAATAAGTGAAATTTATTGTATAGCAAAACACTGTCAGACAGATGTGAACCATACATTGCTAAAAACAATATTCTTCAAAAGCATCAACTACTCTATCTGAAAAGAAATACCTAATGTATAAAAAGCATGTGTCTACTTTAGAAATACTTATTTTCCTTTTTATTATTGACTGGACAATCAAACAAACCATTTACTACTGAAACTTGAAAATACTTTCTAATAATTTTAAAATTATTAGAATCTTATTAATCAAGTAATCTTAATATTTTCTGTAAAAGTATTATACCAAGTATAATTCACCCCTTAATGAAAACACTTTTTCATTTGTATACAGTATTCCTCTTTATAACAATTCTTCAAAAAGTTAATGGCTCTTTTTCCTATATAAAAATACTATGACAAGAGTATATATACTTAAAGGAAAAAATTCTGTTTCTCTGGGGTATTTCAAATAGCTAATAATTAAATAGGTTAACAAGTATTAGGACTACATTAAATTTTTAAAATAAAACTGAAGAAAAATGCACATCAAAGTGGATTAATGTTTCTGAACTTCAAATGTCTTAAGTGACATGTGATTTTAAATCTTCATATTCTTCAGTCTGTGTCTTAGTAGAACCAGAAATGAAAATATCTAAACACTAAAAGGAAAAAGAAAATAATCATACTTTCTTGATTTTTCTTTGATTGAAAAGTCTCTGGCTACATCTTACTTGCTGTCGTAAAAATTGGTTTTATTGGTAAATGTCATGAATTATCTAAGCGCTTTCTATTTTCTAGTAACTGATTTAAGAAGAAAAATGAAGAAAAAAATAGAAACTAACATATTTAACTACATAAAAGTTGAAAGCCTTTGAAGACTTGATAGATACTAATATTTTAAGTACCCAAGAAGCTAGAAAGCCAGGGGTCATATTGGAGATGTAACAAATAACTAAAAAATTCAAATAACTCCGTTTTTCTTATTGCATATCTAACATGCAGAAGTTTTAATACCAGACAGTTAGCTATCTACTGGGCTGCTACAGCCACTGCAAATTAATGGATACTCAGAAAATATAAACAAATTATCTCAACAGCTTGTATAAAAGATAATTAGGAAGGCAAATCTAACCTCTCTTCCCTCATCTTGTGATGACTTCCAAAACTAAAAATAAACTATTATTATCAAGGTGAATTTATAGCATTGGATATAAATGCATTACATATGCATAATTACAAGCTATCTCAGGAAGTGCCATTCTAAACCAATTCTATATAATTTACAAATGGAAAACTAGTGACTGGAAGACACATTTAATCCTCCTGAAATAAACCCCTCAGTATGAAGGAACATATTCACAGTGAAAAAATGAAAAGCAAGAACTGTATCAAGGAATAGTATATCAAACTAGATGCAGTACAGATTGGATCACAAGCTACTGAGAAAGTCAGACTGAAGTCAGAAGTTAATTAAAGCAGGGAGATGGGGTGCTGGGAATTAGGAAACTTTAACTATAAAGTCTAAATGGAAATTCTGAGCCAAAGATCAGCTCACATCCCAAAAAATGTGATGTGTAATAGTTCAGATAAGACTAATCTTTGATTTGTACAATTTTGTAATATATCATTTACATGACACATAAGTTCCCTGTTTAAGTATAAATATTTGATGTCTATGGATATGACAAAGACCACACTTTGCATGACATTTTAAAAAAATGCATAATAGATTTTACTTTTTAGAGAAGTTTTAGGTTCACAGCATAAGCTGAGCAGAAGGTACAGGAATTTCCCATATATCTTTTGTCCCCACTCATGCAGTCTCCCAAATTGTCAAAATCCCTCACCAGAGTGGTATATTTGTTACAACTGATGAAACTACACTGACACAATCACTGTTATCCCAAAACCAATAGTTTACATTAGGGTTCATTCCCGGTATTATACATTCTATGGGATTAGATGCATTACATTTTTAGCTCTAAATTTTCTACAACATACATACATACTGGATATTATTCTTTGAAAAATTATTTAATAATCCTACAAAGGCAAACATGCTACTATGGTTACTCTAGTCATAGGCATGGATATTATTTATATTTAAGCAGTAGTTTCTGAACATTTTAATCTTCCTATTAAATCTGAGAAAATAGCCAATGACAATTAAAAGGGTATTTGCTAATATAACTAATAATATATTAAAAATATGACTAGGAAGGCTAACATTTTAAACACAAAATACTATATTATGTATTTGTCTTAAAGGAAATTTCAGATAGCTCAAATCTATGAAACAAGTTTCATAAAACTGAGAAATATACAAATTGCTTGTCATACCTTGTAAAATCTGTCTGCTGGGTCCTGCTGTTTCTTTAAAGGAGGGACCATCTGTAGAGAGTTAAGTTAAATTATTTTAAAACATGTCTTCAATTCTTGATTCAATTTTTGCAATCAGAGTACTTTTCATTCAAATGTATTGTGAAGGATGCATGACTACATAGGCACATCAGACCTACAAAATTATTTTTTAGATTTAATATAATGATTTAATGGGTATAGATACAGGGAATTTCAAAATGTGTCAGTGGTACAGAGTACTTAGGAAATAATTGTATTAAGCAACCTGCTAAAAAATAGTAAATCAGAAACATTGAAAGTCTTAACTATTCATTACATACCTATGATACATCCTGCTATACTAATTTTACAATTGGAAAACTCAGAAAAAACAAAGTTTTTTGCCTGAAGTTATAAGAAGTCCAAGAAATGAAGCCAGGGTAGCATCTAGGACAACTGAACTATAGCAAATAATGGTTCTCCAATAGCTTCTACATGGCTGTGGCAAGCCTTTTACACAGAAAAGATAAAAATATATTTTTATTTTGCCTTTATGGTGAAAAAATACTGCAATTTCTACACTTAAGTACTCTCAAGGTACTAATCAGCTTTAACATCAAAGCAGAAAATACAGGTAGACAGTGTAGAAGATCAGCAACATTCACTGAAAGGGGTCATCAGGGGCGCTGACCAGCTCTCTGATCAACACTGACAGACAGCCTGTCTGGGGTCATGGTCCTTGGCCCACAGTACCAAACAGCTTACTGCAGCTTTGCTAGAAACTGTGACAAATGCCAGAAGAGGTATAAAAGCCTGAGGATGAACAGCAATTTCTATCGGATATGACATTGTGGTATGGGGAGAAAGATGTAGCCACCTTGAAAATCCTGCTCATAGTCAAAAGCACAACTGTTCTAGAAACTCAGTTTCCGATCTCTTGAGATTTCTATCTGTAGGGAGCAGATCCAGATAGATATTTTTGACATAATTATATGAAATGTATATTCTGCTATACTGCTATAGTGGCCATATAAAACATAATTCCCATTTAGGTAAAATCTAAAAGTCCTCCTGGATATAAAATTTGTTAGCTGTGGTTTGTTGCTTACCAAGCCCATTTCTTCGTCATCTTTGGTAAACAACTAAACTACATTACCCAGGCTCTCTTGAGTTAGGTGGTGTATGTGACTGACTTGAAAGCGGATATGAGAGGTAAACCACTTCCAGGCTCCTAAGAATGTTTCACATGATTTGCTATGTACTTGATCTCCAGTTAGAAGCAGAGAATCCAGTGGAAGATTCCAAGGTTAAGAATCCCAACAAGCCAAGAAAGGAGGCTAGATTCCTGAATTACCACAGGAACAGAGCCCCCACCCAACACCCCATCAACCCAAGAGTCAAACATAAAACTTTAATACTTAAGTCACTGAGATATGAGCAGTTAAAGCAAGCAAAAACCAGCCAGTTTTAATCACAGTCAAGCATTCTAATAAATACAAAGCTCACAGTATTTCCCAGGGAGACTAAAACATCTTTTATGGGCAAAATGGAATCATGGCCCTATTACTTTCATAACCTAAGACTGACTTATGTAATACCGAAGGCAGAATGACAGTTAAGATCAGGTTTTGGAGTCAAGTTCCCTGTGTTCAAAGCCTAGCATTTCTTCTTCTTACTTACTATGATCTCTTTACGCCCCAATGTCTTATCAGTTCTTTTTTCTCACCCTTCTCCCCTTGGCCAAAAAAGGCCTTTCACCTACTTAGAATCTTACTAAAGTGCATTGCTCAAGGTATAAAAATAATTCTAGGGCAACAAACAAGAGATCAACTGAAAATATTGGTGTTAGTGTTAGAAAACTAATGACTCTAATGACTGGCTAGAAATCCTTTTGTAATCAACACGGTTTCTACTTTTTTGCTTTTAATAAAATGTAGGGATTAGTAAATGACTGCCAATTTATATATCATTAAAAATAATTTGTGATGACTGATCACTATGTAATTTCTGGGATGTAATTCTGAAGGTATTCCAAGAATTGACTGAAACTGTTATAACGGAGTTCCTTCTACTTAAAGTTTCTTAGTACTTAACATTATAAAGATAAAAAATAGGAACAGAATTGATGCCAAAATCTGTTCTAGGCTATTAAGTGTTATTTACCCACAAACTGAGAAAAGAGCTCCAGTCATCTCATTAAGACATATATTTCAAATAAAATATTGCTTTTTATGATTATATACATCAAAATTTGAAAATACATTTTAATTGACTTTGTAGTAGTAATAACTTCATCCCAAAGAAATGTTTTAGGTCTTATGTTTCTAGGAAATAAAAAAAAATTAAATGTATACACATATTTTACTGCCAAAAAGCATAATATATAATCAGTTAGACAACACAAATAAACTCCATTATAAAATTCTGGAAAGGAAAGGGAACAGAAATAGGAATTCAAGGAGAAACAGGATGCTGTGAAATTTATAATTACTTCTATGTTTTTGAATAGGTGAGAATGGGTCTCAATTAGAGTCCACTGACTATTTCATAGAGTAATACAGAAGTCTCACTCTAAATGAAAAATATTCTAATTTTTCTAAAAAAAGGATTTCTAAAAAAATTATTTAAATAATTGAAGAAATATAATTTATCATATATTACAATACATTTTTAGAAATCATTGATATATTATGTGTCACAATTTATAATACATTATGATACATTTTAGAAATGATCTTAAAAATGTGTGAGGGATACACAGTATTTCAAAATTATTTGAGAATGCATATGAGCAAAAGCAAGGTTTTAAAACATAACAGTGTAATACTTACAAATACATAACAAATTTTAGAAAATTAAAAATTAAGGACTCAAAAATCGCTAATGTTCCTTTCATATTCTCAAATCTAAAGTTTTAGGATTCAGTCATTGTGGCAAGTACACATAATATTTAAGCATATAATTTGTTTAAAGATAAATTGTATCACCTAAGCAGATTCTATTAATCTCTATTTCATGAATAAGCTATTTAAAATATAATTTTAAAGTAAGACAGTAGTTAATAAGTAACTTATAATGTAGAACCCAATGCTATATATGTAAGTTAGCATATAAAGATTTCTAAAGAAATATGGAGATAAATATCAGGTGATAGTCATCAAAAAATTACACTGAAAATGTGAAAAACTGAAAACCCCTATCATATTTTTATAAGCCTTTACATAGCACAAAAGGCCTCATTATACTTAAAAAAATCATGACATGCATTTGCTAAATTCCAATTGTTTCTCATTCACTGACATTCATTTAAAATAGCATTTAGTAAGATACACTCACTAAATTAAAGCTAAGCCCCTGCCTTATACTGCTAATTTCATTTTATACTAAAAATAAACTAGCCCTGGGAACCATTTAATCCAATTCATTAGAAAGGAAGTTGACTGAAATACCTTTTTAACAGACTACTTCAACTAGAAAAAGTAATCCGTATAGAATTTCTACTTATTTGGAAGGTCGTCCATCTGAAAGTCTTTAGACTGTACTCACCGTGAGAATGAAAGTGTCCATGGCCATGAGCATGATCATGGCTATGTGCAGCACCATGTTTCAGTTCATGACTATGGCAATGATCTCCATGTCCATGTACCTGATCTAGAGCACCATTAAAGAGGGAATGACTATGTCCATGGCCTAAAAAACAGTGTTAGAACAAAAAGTATGTAAAAATATATTATATAAATGTTTATAATAATACTGACACTTGTGAAAAGAACTGGCTCTAAAACCAGATTCAATTCAATAAACATTGACTTGTAAAAAGTATTATTAATTCATTAAAACAATACTAACTGAGTTCTTACTATGGAGTACAGGAAGGAAATGAAAGCATGGAGGGAAGTGGTAATCTTTACTACAAATGAAAATAAGTGAGAAGCACACAGAAATATTTAAAGAGATTAGATGATGCTATTCATTCAAGAAATACTTTTTTGGAACATACTATGTTATAGCAACATTTTAGGCACTGGGGATAGAGCAATGAACAACACAGACAGAAATCTTGGCCAAAACTTGTAAAGTACTATTACACATACTAACAAAAATAAAACAAGATGTGTGTATATAGTCACATTGAGGCAAAGGCAGGGAAGCTGCTGCATTTGGCAAAAGGGTAATTAAAGTGATATTAAACCAGGTAGAATCCTTTGAAAAAAAACAAAAACAAAACAATATAGAATCCTCTATAGCAGACCTAGAAACTATTAAACCATCAAAGAAAGATCTTATACAAGCTATTACAAACCACAGAAAAAGACTGCATGTTACCCAATTCAAAAATATCACTTACATTCTAAAATCCTAAATACCAATAAATCAAATCTAAAAAAAATCCAATCTGAATAATGAGGAAGGAAATCAACTTCTGGAATGGTGGAGAGGGTATGATGACAAACTAGCTCTCTCTCTAAAACAACAAAACTACAGAGAACACACTAAAAAATTAATCACTTCAGAATTCTGGCAAGTAACTAAAACCACAAAATGAACAAAAAGTAACTATCCAAGAGAAATTACCAAACCTCAATTAGATAGCAGGGTCTTTGTTGTTTCTACATGGAGTTATTACCATTCCACTTCCTGCCCCAGCTTAGCTGAAAGTAGCTAAAAGTCAGAAGCATTGCAGATAAAGGACAAATGTAATTTCTTCTGAAGCTAGATGGCGAAAAGCACCATCTCCAAAACAGACAATATTCCATCCAAACTTTCAGTTCACTGGAAAAATCTCTATTCTCAATGTGGTTGACTATTAGACAGAGAGCTCAGCTCTAAAAATTCACTGGCCACACACTGCAGGAAATGAAATAATTCAAGGAAGTAATACAAAAAAGAAAAAATATTGGAAAAAACAGCTTTGGAAAAAAACAGTAATCTGAAGCCAGAGTCATTATAATATAAAATGTCCAGTTTTCAACAAAAACATAATAAGATGTGCAAAGAAAGAGGGAAGTATGCCACATACACAGGGGAAAAAAGGCAACCAACAGAAAATGTTCTGCAAGGGGACCCAGATTTTGGACTTAGTAGACAAAGACTTTATTTCAGCTATTATAAATATATTCAAATTAATTAAAGAAAACCATGTCTAAGGAATTAAAGTGTAACAATGATGACTCACCAAATAGTGTGTATCAATAATGAGATAGAAATTATAAGAAAGAACCAGAAATTCTGGAGTTACAAAAATACAATAACTGAAATAAAACATCTACTATATGGGCTCAACAACAGATGTGAGCTATAATTAGTGGAAAATGTGAAGATGTATCAACAGAGATTATCCACTCTGCAGAGCAGGAAAAAATGAAAATTAAGAGAAATAAACAGAGCCTTAGACACCTACAGAAATACCAAGTGTAACAAATCAAGTATAACAGGAATCCAAAAAGAGAAGAAAAAGCAAAAAGAGATAGAAAACGTATATGAAGAAATAATGACTGGAACCTCCCCCAGTTTGATGAAAAATACTAATCTTTATATTCAAGAAAAGGAAATGTTAACTAGAATAAACTAAAAAAGAACCATATCTAGTGATGTCATAGTCAAATTGATAAGCATCAAAAAATTTTTGAAAGTCGTACAGGAAGATAAAAATGACAAGGGAACCTTAATAAGAATACTGTTTACTTCTCCACAAAAAAAAACATGGAGACCAAAAGACAGTGGGATAACAAAATTAATATGTTAGAAAAAGACTCAACTAAGAATTCTAAATTCAACAAAACTTCCCTTAAAAATAAAGAAGAAATAAGACATTTCCACATAAAACACTCCCTGCAAATAAAATGAAAGGACACAAAATAGCAATTCAAATCTACACAAAGAAATAAAGAGCACCAAAAAGAGCACCATAAAGGTAAGCATGACACTTACTTTTTTATAAATATACTTTTTCATTTGTACCTTGTTTCTTTTATATATTTTAAGACAATTGCAAAAATAGTTATAAAACTGAATTGAGGAATGTATATCATAAAAACATGTAATTTGTCTGATAATAATAGTACAAAGGAGGGAAGTGGGAATGGAGATATACTGGGGCAAAGGTTTTGTGTATTATTAAGTTACTATTAATCTGAACTAGACAGTTTTAAATTAAGATGCTTTTTGTAATCCCCAGGGCAACATTAAGAAAATAATTTAAAAGTATATAGTAAAAGAAACAAAAGAATTAAAAAGGTACATTAGAAAATACCTATTTAATTTAAAATACAAGATTAGAGGAACAGAGTAACAAAAATGACAGATATAGAAAAAAATGAAAATGGCAGATGTATCTTAGTACTAATTACATTAAATTGTTTAAACAACATAAATATAAATTATTTAAACAGACCAATAAAAAGGCAGAGATTGTCAGAATGGATGAAAAAAACTATGATCCAGCTATATTCTGTCTACAAGAGATAAATTTAGATCCAAATATACATATAGATAGAAAGTAAAAGGATAGAAAGAAGTTAAAAAAAGAGAGAGAACTATCATAATATCAGACAAAGTAGACTATAAGCCAAAAATTATAAGAGGAAAAGAAGAACAGACAGGCTCAGTCTGTCAGGAAGATATAATGATTAAAACCATACATGCACTGAACAGGAAAGCTTCAAAATACGTAAGCATAACCAAAAAGAATTGACGGGAAAAATAAGCAATTCAGTAATATATACATATATAGTAAGAGACTTCAACACCTACTTTTAATACTGGATGGACAATAAGGTAGAAGATCAACAAGGAAACAGAAAATTTAACAACTATGAACAAGTCAGACCTAATAGACATCTATAGAACACCCCATCCAACAACTGAATACATATTCTTCTCAAGTACACATGAAACATCCTCTAGTACAGACTAAATTTCAGGTCATAAAATAAAACTCAAAAATTTTAAAGGAAAAAAATCATAAAAAGACCTTGAATGGCAAAAGCAATCCTGAGAGGGAAGAATAAAGCTGGGGGGATTATGTTCCCTTACTTCAAGGTCTATTACAAAGCCACAGTAATCAAGACAATTTGGTACTGGCACAAGAACAGACCCACAGATCAATGGAACAGAATAGAGAGCCCAGATAGAAACCCACACATATATGGCCAATTAATAAATGATAAAAGAGCCATGAATATACAATAGGGAAAAGACAGTCTCTTCAACTCCTGGTGTTGGCAAAACTGGCAGCTACATGTAAGAGAATGAAACTGGTTATTGTCTAACTCCAAACACAAAAGTAAACTCAAAATAGATCAAGGACCTGAATGTTAAGTCATGAAAACATAAAACTCATAGAAGAAAACAGGCAAAAATCTCTTGAATAAAAACATGAGCAATTTTTTTCTTGAACACATCTCCTCAGGCAAGGGAAACAAAATCAAAATGAACAAATGGGACTACATCAAACTAAAAAGCTTCTGTACAGCAAAGGACACCATCAACAGAACAAAAAGGCATCCTACAGAGAATTTATTCATAAATGACTTATGCGATAAGGGGTTAACACCCAAAATATATAAAGAGCTCACACACATCAACACCCAAAAAAACAACCTGATTAAAAAATGGGTGAAGGCTCTGAACAGACACTTCTCCAAAAAAAAAATTCAGATGGCCAACAGGGACATGAAAAGAAACTCCACATTGCTGATCACCAAGGAAATGCAAATTAAAACCATGATGAGGTATCACCTCACACCAGTTAGGATGGCCAACATCCAAAAGACAAGAAACAATAAATGCTGGCAAGAATGTGGAAAAAGGGGAACCCTCCTACACTGTTGGTGGAAATGTAATTATTTCAAACATTGTGGAAAGCAGTATGGAGGTTCCTCAAAAAATTAAAAATAGAAATATGATTGACCCAGTAATTCCACTCCTAGGAATTTACCCGAAGAGAACAAGATCACTGATTTGAAAAGACATATGCATCCCTATGTTTGTTGCAGCACTATTTATAATAGCCAAGACCTGGAAGCAACCTAAGTGTCCATCAGTAGATGAATGGATAAAGAAGAGGTGGTACATATATACAATGGAATGTTATTCAGCCATAAAAAGAAAGCAAATCCTGCAATTTGTAACAACATGCATGGAGCTAAAGGATATCATGCTCAGTGAAATAAGCCAGGCTGAGAAAGACAAGTACCAATTGACTTCACTCATTTGTGGAGTATAAAAACAAAGCAAAACTGAAGGAATGAAATAGCAGCAGACTCACACACTCCAAGAATGGACTAGTGGTTACGAAAGGGCAGGGGATGAGGTGGGTGAGTGGGGAGGGAGAAGGGATTAAGGGGCACTATAATTCACAATCACAATATAGGTAGGTCACAGGGAAGGCAGTACAGCATGGGAAAGACCCATAATGATTCTACAGCGTCTTACTACACTGATAGACAGTAACTGCAATAATGTGGGTGAGGACTTGTTAATATGGGTGAATGTTGAAACCACAATGTTGCTCATGTGAAACCTTCCTAAGATTGTATATCAATGATACTTTAATAATAATTTTAAAAAGTATGTCATCTGATCACAATGGAATAAGATATCAAAAATAGAAAAAATTAGGGAAATTTACAAATATGAGAAAATTAAAAAGTACACTCTAATGGGTCAAAGCAGAAATCACAAGAAAAACTGAAAAATACTTTAAGATTAGCAAAAATGAAAACACAACAGCAAAAGCTACAGGTTACATTATAGAAATGGTTAGAAAATAATTTATAGCTGGATATGCCTGTGCTTACAAAAGGAAGACCTCAAATACATAACTTAATACTCTTCAAGAAATTAGAAAAGGAAGAGCAAACTAAATCCAAAGTAAAAAGGAGAAAAGACATAATAAATATTAGAGTAGAAATAAAATTAAATAGAGAAAAATCAATTAAGACCAAAAGAGGATTCTTTTGAAAAAGACTGATTTAGTTGAAAAATATCAACATAATTGACAAACCTTTAACTAAACTGACAAGGAAAAATGAGAAGGCACAAATTAGTAAATTTAGGAGAAAGAGGATATCCTTGCTGCCCTTATGGAAATAAAATTTAAAAAATTGATTTAAGAAGGTATACTATAAACAAAAATAAGTTAACAAACTAGATAATTCAGATGAAATGTACAAATTCCTAGAAACACACAAACTGCTGAAACTGACTCAAGAAGAAATAGAAATCTGAGTAGACCTGTTACAAACAAATCCACTGAATTAATCATTTAAAAACTACCAACAAAGAAAAATTCAGGCCCAGATGGCTCTGCTAGTGAATTCTGCCAAATATTTAGAGAACACCTGTACTTCACAAACTCTTCTCCATCACTGCCCCACTGAAGAAATAAGTAGAACAGAACAAAATACTTTCCAACTCATTACATAAGTTGGTAATACCATACAAAGACATCAAAAGAAAAGTACATACCAATATTCCAGAATATAGATACACAAGTCTTCAAAAAATACTAACAAACCAATCTAGCAACACATAAAAAGGATTACTAACTATGGCCAAATGGGATTTTTCTTAAGTGCAAAGATGGTTTAGTACCCAAAACCAAGCAATGTAATACACCATATTAATAGCATAAAGGATAAAAACCAACTTATCATCTCAAAAAATGAAGAAAAAAGTTATTGACAAAATCCAATACCCTTTCATGGTAAAAACACCCAGGAAATTAGAAATAGAAAGAAATTTCCTCAATCTGATAAAGGACACTTCCTAAAAACACACAGATAACATAACTAACATCATGTTTAATGCAGAAAAACTGAATGCTTTCACCCTATAATCAGAAAAAAGACAAGTCTGTACCCTCTCAGCGCTTCAATACTGGAGGATCTGGCAAGGGCAATCAAACAAACAAAACAAAACGATGATATTCACATTGAAAAGGATGAGGTAAAACTCTCTATTTGCAGATGGCATGATACTAGAACATTCTAAAGAACCCACTAAAAACATATGAGAATAATGAACAATTTCAGCAACGTGGCAAGACACAGGATCAACATACAAAAATGAATTATATCCTTACCTTGGCAATGAGCAATCCAAAAATGAAATTAAGCAAACAATCCTACTTATCACAGAAAGGGCAGTGGGAAAGGGAGGGAGGGAGGGAGGGAGGAAGGAAGGGAGGGAGATAGGGAAGGTAGAAGGAGGGAGGGGGGGTAGGAAGGGTAGAAGGAGGGAGGGAGGAAAGAAGAAGACTAGGATCTAGGAATAAACTTAACAAAAATGAACATTAATAACTATAAAACACTGTTGAAATTATAGAAGCTCCAAATGAATGGAAAGGCATCCTGTGTTCATGGATCAGAAGACTTAACATTGTTAAGATAATAGTACTTCCCAAATTGATTTACAGATTCAGTGCAATTCCTATCAAAATCCCAGCTACCTTTTTTTTTTGCAGAAATTAGCAAGCTGATTCTAAAATGTACAAGTAAATGCAAGAATCAAGAATAACCAGAACAACCTTAAAAAAGAGGAAGAAAGTTGGGCAATTCATATTCCAACTTCAAAACCTACTTCAAAGCTACATTAATCAAGACCTAAGGATAGACATATAGATCAGTGAAACAGAATTGAGAGTCCAGGGCTAAACTCTCACATTGATGGTCAACTGATTGTTGATAAGGGTGTCAAGACAATTCAGTGGGAGGAAATAATTTTTTTAACAAATTGTGCTGAGGCAACTGGGTATCTCTATACAAGAAAATGATACTGGACCCGTACCTCTCAACATACACCAAAACTGATTCAAAATGGATCACAGACCTAAATGCAGACCTAAATGAATACATCTTAACCACAAAATTTAAGGATGGTTCCTCATGAGAAAATATATAAATGTAACTAGTTTTAAATTACCTTAAGGAGGACAGAACATAACTAATTCCATAGATGCAGGAAGAAAAAAGGAATATCCTTAACCTGATAAAGCAGTTTTGTCAAAACCAGACCGCAAACCACAGACCAAATGGTAAAGCTTTAGTAGCATTGTTAAAGCAATTGTTTTCAACCTTGACTGCATGTTACAGTCAGCTAGAGAACTTTAAAACATGCTGATGTTTGAATGTCTTCCTCCAAAGATTCTGATGTAAATGTTCTGGGATTAAACCTGGGCATCAGTGTTTTTAAAGTTACCCAGGTGATTACCAGGTTGATGACCCAAGAATATAAGCTTATAAGTATTTCTAACTGACACTGTGCTGGAAGTTCTGGATATGCAATAAGACAAGCAGGAATAAAACTCTTTATTTTTAAAAATAACTTTCAACTACCTAAAAATGAACCAAATGAAAAATATAAAGATCTTTACTACAATACCTAAACAACTTAATAAAGGACATAAAATGTAATAAGAATACAATGTCAGTTCTCCACAATTAAACATAAAGACAATGCATTCCTAATCAAAATCCCAAAAAGATTTCTCATAAAATTTGACAAGCTGGTAAAAACGACCAAATGAGCAAGATAGGCACAAACAACCTGGAGAAAGAAAAAACAAACAACAGAGACAGAACTTAACCCTGCAAAATAGTAAAACATAAAGTCTACATCAATTATTCCAGTGTGACAGTTGGATAGGCAAAGATAAGCAGACAACACCTGATATATAAGGCAATTCAATACAGGACAAAAGTGTCTTTTTACATCAATGAAGTGAAAGGTAATTGGTGCTTGGAAAGCTGCTTATTTATAATGAGGAAAAAAGTTAAGTCCTAACTCACCACATTACAAAAATAAATTACATATAGAAGAGGGAACAAAATGGATGGGGAAAAAACATCAAACCAAAATTTAACAGTATTAAAATATAAGAGAATATGTTTATGACTCAGAGATAAGAAACTCCTTAAACAAAGAAGAAAACATGCCAGAAAAAATAAGACAGAAAAACTAGACTATACCAAAGTTAAGAACCCTTATATAAAACTTTAAAGACAAGCCATAGACTAGAAAAAGATATTTGCAACACATAGTTAGTATACAAAATATATAAAAATGCTTATGAATCCATTAACAAAACAATAGAAAAACAGCAACAAAAAAAATTGTAGAAGAGGAAAAATTTGAATGACCTAAAAATATACAGAAAGATTTTCAACCTCACTACTAATCACAGGAATACCAAATAAAATGAGACATTATTTTTATCAATGTATTAGCAAAACAGTTATAAACCCATAATAAGTTTTGATGTGGGTAGAAGGGAATTAGTAATGGCATTTATTGCTGGGGTAAATGTAAATGATAGTCCTTTTGAAGTCTAATTTGCTAATGCCCATGGAAACTAAAAACTATATATCCTGTGTTCCAGCTATTCTACTTGTACTCTAGCACAGTACAATTCGAAGAACTTTCTGTAATGATGGAAATGTTTTCTATCTGCTATCCAATATGGTAGTCTGTGTGAAATGTTACTAGTGTAACTGAGGAACTGAACTTTTAATTATATTAAATCTAATTAACTATAATTTAAATTTGAATAGCTACATATGACTAATGGTTACCATACAGGACAATACAGCACTAGAAAAACACTTGCATGTGTTCACATGGATATACTTCATATACAATAGTGAAAAACTGGAAATGACTTAAAGTCTATACATAGAGGACTGATTAAATAAATTATGGTATCCCACACCATGGAGTTTTAAACATCTGTTAGCAAGAGAAGGTAGACTAACATATAACAAATGGAAGGATCTCAAAGACAGACTGCATTGTAAATTTTACACCCACATACACTATAATTTTTTAGTAACTAGATTTGTTTTGTGGTTTCTGATGTTTATTTGTTTGTTTTATATAAATGGTTTTACACTGAACAGATGAGCTACAAACAGAGGTCTGGAAGGATCCACACCAAACTAATAACATGTATAACTCTAAGATGGTTCTAAAAGAGATGGGCATGGAGAACTGGGAGAGATGATTCAGGAAGACATTAATAAAACTCTATTAATGTATTACTTTTGTTAAGAAAAGTCAATATAGAATTTAAATATTAATTTTCAAAACTGAGTAATTATGACAAAAAAGCAGAAAATGAAGAAACAAAAGGTTCTAACCATCATACCAGAGCCATGAGAATGTCCATGACCTCCATGCTTGAAAACAAATATTCCTATTAGGTTTACCACAAACCCAAGAATTGAAACAAGAAGCAGTCTCTCATGATGTACATCTGGAGGGGCTAATGCTCTCTAGAAAATACATAATACAAACAAACAGCATTGATAAAATTTCTCATTGATCAAGTGGTAAAAACAAAAAGCAATTTGAAGACATTTTTAGTTATTTTCGGAATTAAAAGCACTCCAAAAATATATCTCAAAAGTTTACAGAAATAAACTCAGCACTCACATACTGTAGAAAAGATAACAATTACATTTTAAAATAAATACAAATATCTAAAAGTGTGAATATTTGGTCTAAAACCCATCCCTCTTTGGTATCTCAAAGTATTGCCATTCATCCTCAAGTTCATTAAACTTTAAATTTTCTCATTTCTTTTTTTTTAATACACTAGGTATAAAGAATTCATTGGCAAAACTCTCAGGTTCTATTTTAAGAACTATTTCCAACAGACATCACTACCTAGATTGTGTCTTTAATTTTCATAGTGTCAACACTTCACTCATAACTTATAAAGCACTATCATTTGTTTTCAATTTTATGTAGTTTCACATATACTTAATTTTTTCAAGTATTTCTTAAGCTCCTCTTGTACATATATACTTTAGTTAGTCCAAGACTGTCCTCAATAAATACTTAATGATAGTGTGAAAAACAGTTCTATTACATGTATCTTTAGTTAATGAATATTTTCATTACATAAACATAATATATGGACTCTAATCATTATCTACAATACCTCAACTCCTTCTGAGAAAATAAAAAAAGCAGTGAAGATCAAAAATAGGCCATTGACAAAGCCAGCCAGAACTTCCGCTCTAACATACCTAAGGAAGAGCAAAGTAAACAACTGAATTATCATTATTTCTTAAAAATCAAACAACAAATGTATACCCATCCAGCCTAAACCATATGGCTTATACGGTTCAAAGAGGCCAGCAAAGTCCCAGAATTTATAGTGTTTATTTTATACATATTGTAGAAATAAGGAAATGAATTTAATTATTATGAATTACATGTAACAGAACACTATAAAATACATAGATTTCTCCAAACCAATCAAAATACCATTTTTGAGTAAGTAGGTTTAGAAAGATCTTACACAGAAACATAAACCTCAAGTTGCTACTGAAGAAGGAAGAACAGGACCAGGTAAGTAGGCAAGAGGGAGGATCCAAAGATAGAAGAAAAGGACTTGAGAGGAATTTTTATAACTTAATAAATCCTTCTTTTCTAAGGACTCCTAATGTTTTCTGTTTTGTACCTTTCAGCTTTCAAATCTTTGGAGCTTTGATTTGAAGGAAAATAAAATTATTTCTGAATTATCCCAGAGACAACTTGAGATTTATATTTCTATCACTCATTTTCTAAGATTAATAAATTTAGCAAAATCTTTTCAATTACCTATATTTAGGATCAATTCTAGCTTCAGATAATTCTAATTAAACTATTTTTAAAATACCTGTCTTTTTCTCCATGGACTTCTGAAACTTTCTGCTTCCTACCTGCATGAGGCATTGGGGAAAGATTTTATTTTTCCATAAGGTATATTTGCTTAGTTAAAGTCATTAGAAAAACTTTAACTTGGCAGTTTCACATGTTCAAACATTACCCAAAGGGTGATGATAACACTTAATTATTCTGGCCCTTAAATAATATAATAGGAGCATTAAAAAATACTGCTTTTTCTAGGTTTCTATGTTACATCTAGATAATACAATTTTTAATATAAAAATATTTTTAAAGCAAAGAGAACAAACCCTTTAAAATGTGCTCTGTCCAGTTAGGTTGGAGTTTGTCCTGTCAAGTACCTTACACCATAGCATATATTTTATACTCAGAAATAATGTACATTTCTACCTTCTGACACATACAAAGAATTAAATTAGTGTATTATTTGTCAAAGCATATACCAGGAGATAAAATTCACTAAATTCAGCCTCCTTTCAATAACTCACACTTAGGAAATTTATCCAATGTATCAGCAGGGTCACTGACCCAAAGTAAAAATCCCTTTCTTTTAACCTATCCTTCTAGTCCCATAGCTAATGCTTTGATTAAAAGCCATTTTGTCCTTAGTTCTACTAGATTTCAAGATCAAAGGCAAGAATGTTTTTCAGGTACCTTTTCGTCCCTCTAAGCTTAGCTTAGTAGACGACCCATAAATTCTAATAAATTGTTGGACTAAAGTGATTTAATTAGGTTTAATGTATTTGCTAAATTTGGTTGCAGGATTAAAGCAAAAAAGCTGTGAAAAAGGAGACATGTTTGCCTTTACAAATGACTATGTTTACTTGAACAGAGTGAGTCTTGTAATTAAAACTTACAATTCATGAATGCACTACTGCCTAATTAAGTATGGTGGTATCTGGGCTCTTCAGCCATGGCAAAAAGGATACAAGTATTTGTACATATGTATAAGGCAAGTACATAAGGCATCTGTCTACCTATCAGATGTATATTACTTTTATGCTGCCTTTGCTATTTCAAAAACAAGAGTATGTCAAGACACAAAGATAATGTTTATGTAAAGAAATACTGCAAAGTCTGCTGCATCTCACATTCCTCCTATTGTTTCTTCATTTGCAGTCAGTGCGCTTGTGATCCTACTGAACTGGGGGTTTGGGATTCATCCGCAGGCTCAGCCTACTCAGTACGACTTTGATGTACTGGAAGCTGTTCTACTACTGCTTCTTACTACTAGAGTAATTATCAAGAGTTTCAAATGCTGTATCAGTTTTTATTCCTTAAATTTTTCCTTCAAAAGAAAAAAAAAAGAAGACAGGATAAGAGATTAAAGTGACAAGAATAACTCTCTTATATCAACTACTGAAAGTTGAATAGTTGCTATAGTACTGAAGGTATTCAAAGCTATTCTTAAAAACCACCTTACAGCAGGAGACTATGTATTCTAAATGGAAAACAGTAGAGACCTTAAGATTTAAGGAATGGAGAATTTTTAGAGTCAGCTACTGTTTATCCAAAAAGATTACTGAATAGGATATTCTAATTAGACATTCTATATATATAATATATATGAATTACTAATTTTCCAACACTACATTTTAAAATTTTAACTTTACATACAACCTATCTTTAATGATTAAAAATACACTTAAGAATCTTATGGCTATATACTCCCATGGAAAATGTTCTTTTCTAAGCTGTTTGGATTTTTAGATACATAGGATCTCTTGCTCTATACTATAAAAATAGTAATTTTAGTGTTCTTTGTCTTACTTTTTATAATTGTAAAAATAACCCTATGACTTTGGTAATACCCCAAATCAGCAAGTTTTATAAGAGAATTTCACATATCTCTCTCTCAACGCTTATCACAACATACAGTTTATCATGGTATTTTTACAGAACTGCTTCCCCCTCAGTTCACAAGTTCCCTCAAACAAAAGCCATATCTTATTCATTTTTATATCATTAGAAGTTACAAAGTATTTGACTCAGAGTGGGCCCTCACTAAATATCTGAAGAGAACGAGAGCATGTGCAAGAAACAGAGTGCTTGTTCAAGAACAAAAGCAAAGCTGGAGAGAAAGAGTAAGTGGTGAGGCAGCAAGAATAACAGAGAACAACGGGCATAACAAAGACAATGCATATAAGAGGGTGGATGTGAACACAACAGGGAGAAAGGAAAAGCCTATACAGGAAAGGGGGTGCTCAGGGAAGGAGAACTGGTGAAAGAAAGGATGGGAAAGGGAGAGAAACAAGAACCAGGGCTGAAGAGGTTAAAAGAAAGGGAATGGGAGAATAAGAAAGAGCCTGATAGATACAGTTGGTAAATGGCAGAGGGAGAGAGCAGGAGAAAAGAAAGGGAGGAGAAAAGATAAGAGGGCAGGAGAAAAAGAGGAACAGGAGAGCAGAAGGAAGAGAGAGAGGGAAAGACCATGAGCAGAGGCCCAAGTTACTACTGAGAGAGAATAAGAGAGAGGGGATGGGAGTTCAGGAGAGATGAGAGAGAGAATGAGTGTGAGCATGGGGATGAGAGTAAGAGACGGAGAGAAAACAGGAAAGGCAGTGAAGGAAGGAGGGAACGCCAGAGAATACTCACAGGGAGAAGGAGGCAGAGGGAGGAAAAGTAGGAAAGCGTTAGCAAGTAAGTTGGTGAGGGGGTGCCCAGGAAGAACAAAGTGGGTGGGGAGAGAAAGAAGACATATTTATGTGTAAGCAGCTCTCAGAACTAATAATCGCACTGCAAAATAGTCTATGAGCTCAAAACCAAAACAAAGGCAGAGTAAACCAAATAAATGGAAACTCCACTGCTTCCCCTAATCGGAGATGGTAAAAAAACAAACTTTCCCTCTAAGGGTACTAAGTTCAGAAGTGACACCAGATGTTCCAAAATAGTCCCATCAGCATATAAAAACACTGTCCAATATTTTATTAAGAATCCAAATTCAGCAAGAATTTGACAAGTATTTTACATAAAAGCAGAGCTGAAGAGCATAACCAATACAAAGCCATATTAAGAACCAATGATTTTAAGTAAATTAATGGCAAAATATCCTCCAAAAAAGAAAAAGAAGAAACATCACCATTTTCATATACTGAAACTTCTTTTTGAAGAATAAAAAGAAAGTGTAATAACAATCTTTTATCAATAACTAATCTAATAACAATCTTACATAAAAATTTTTGGTAAAATCAAGATGCCTACCGATAAACAATAGAACTTAGGCATAAAAAATAGGTACATATTGTAGGTTCCAATTACATACTATTCAAAAATAGGATAAAACTAATCCATGGAATTAGGGAAATGGTTACCCTTGGGGAAATGTGGGGAAAGGAATTAGATGGAGGCATGATAGGGTTTTTAAGGGTTCAAGTTACACAAGTGTGTTCAATTTGTGAAAACTCATTGAGCATGAGATTTGTGTATTTTTCTGTGTTTCTTATTCAATAATAAGGTTTTTAAAAAGTCTTACCCATAAGAGAAAGCATCATTATCTCTCCATTTTGAAATAACAGATGCTGCCAATCCAGCCAAAATAGCAGTGCTATCGAAAAACATGTGAAAAGAGTCGGAAATCAAGCCTAAGCTGGAAAAAGAACAAACACATTGGCATATTACAATAATAACCAAATAGTAGGCATGCTTCTCTAAAAATCTCTAAGATTCACCCTCTGCTCAACAGGAACTAATCTTTTAAAATGACAGCTGAAATATGATATACAGAAAGATATTAAGTATAATTTTTAAACATCTAAGAAGGAATCCCTCACAGCCTCTGCCCAAGGAATAGCCCAGCTGATACTTAAAGAGGGGTAGAAACAAAGCTGTCTGCTGCTGGGTGAGGGGCAGGACTTTGCTTGCCCTCTGGTCACTGACAAAGGTCAGATGCCACTGAAGGAAAGAGAGAAAAAACAGCCATCTATACTGGGGGCAAGGATAAAGCCAGCTTGGGTCCAGGATCTTAACACTGATACAAAGCAAAGGTCAACTATTATTGGAAGTGGAACAGGATACTTGCTCCTTCTCATAATACAAGGTTGTGGGGATGGGAGGAAAAAGGGGCAGAAATATTAATAATGGGTTATGAGGGGACTTTAAAACAAATAAAATTAACATCTTAAAGGATGGGGTATAAAGCTGGAGAAAATTCATGAACCAATGAAGATTTTCCATAGAGTTAGAGAGTACAGAAGAATCAAATTGGAAATGATAAGAACTTTAAAAAAAAAATCACACTGTTGAAGAAAACGAGTAACATACATGGGTTTCTAAGCAGACAGGACAAAAAGAAAAAGAATAAATTAGGTCAACAGAAATTATCCAAAGTAAAACACAAAGAAGAAAAGAAGTGAAAAGACAGAAAACAGTGTTCAAAACCTATCAGAATATCAAACAGACTAAAATACATGTGTTTAGCTTCTCAGTAATGGAGATGAAAGAAAGAACAGGGTAGAAAAAGTATTTAAGGACAAAATATTTAAAAGTTTTCCAAAATTAATAAAAGAAAACAAAGCACATATCCAAGAAGCTTAATGAATGAATCCCAAGCAAGGAAAAAAACCTATACACCTCACAAATTGCTGAATATCAAAGAAAAAGGGAAAATCTTGAAAACTGCCAGGAAAAAGAAAAACTGGGTAAGAACAAAGATAAGATTAATAGTATATTTTCCATCAGAAAATACTCAAGGCAGAATACAATGGAGTGATGTTTTTTTTTTTTAGCCTGTCCTTTCCGCACTCATCTACAGCAGGAGTTGCAAACTACAGCCTATAGGCAAAATCTAGCCCACCTGTTATTTTTGTAGTTTCATTGGAACACAGCCACATTTGTGCATTAACGTATCACAATGTATATGGCTGCTTTTGCTCTACAATGGCAGAGTTGGGAAGTTGTAGCACATGTCGTATGGCCCTCAAAATGTGAAAATATATACCATGTGGCCCTCTACCGAAAAAGTTTGCCAACCCTGATCTACAGGTGTGTATTGTCACAGGGCAAGACCTCCTTTAAATGCAGGTCTGTTCCTGAGTGCTCAGTTACCTTCCACTGACCTGTTCCCAAGCCAACACCACAGGCATCATGACTACAGCATTGTAATAATTCTTGGTACCTGGAGGTGAGGAGAGGGGACAAGGCTCTTGTGATCCTCTACTTGTTCTTCAAAATGGACTTGGCTCCCCACCTCCAGGAGTAATGTTTTTAATATTGAAAAAAAAGAGTATCAACCTAAATTCATTAATCTAGCAAAATATCTTTCAAAAGGGAAGGCAAATATAAAAACTTTTTCAGTAAATAAAAACCGACAAAATTCATTTACAGAAGACCTGAGTTAAAAGAGTAAGTTCTTCAAGTGGGAACATGGTACCAGATGGAAAGAGATTTGTATAAATAAATATGAAGACCATTGAAAATGATAAACATGGGAGTAAATACAAAGATAATTTTTCCTACTCTTAATATCTTTAAAAGAACATTGAGAATAGAAAAATAAGAGGAAAAATCAACAAACAAAAAGTTAGTTCTTTGAAATGTCAACAAAATTCACAACTTCTAATTACACTGACAAAGAAAAAAAAGCATCAAATTACTAAAATCAGGAATGAAGAAGAGACATTATTACTGACTACAGAAATAAAAAAGATTATAAGGAAATACTATGAACAATAACTATAGGCCAATAAATTAGATAACTTTGATAAAATAGACAAATTCCTAGAAACAAAACAATCTAGCAAAACTGACTCAAAAAACACCTGAGTGGTTTATAACAAGGAAACATATTGAACTAATAATTTTAAAACTTCCAGAATAGGAAATCTCAGACCCAGACAGCTTCACGAGTAAATTCTACCAAACATTTAAAAAACAATAAATATTAACTCCTTACAAACTCTTCAAAATATAGAAGATGAGTACCTCACAACTCATTGTTGTGACCAGCATCAGGGTAAGACCAGCATTACCCTGATACCAAAATCAGACAAAAGTTATCACAAGAAAAGAAACTATGTGCCAGTATCTTTCGTAAATACACATGCAAAAATCTTCAACAAAATACTAGCAAACTGAACCTAGCAATAAAATAGAGTACACTACAACCAAGTGGGATTTATCCCAACAACAGATGGCTGGTCTAACATAATCATCTCAATAGATGCAGAAAAGCATTCGACAAAATCCAACATCATGCTTTTAAGATAAAAACACTCAACAAACTTGAAATATAGATAACTTCCTTAACTGATAAATGACATATACAAAAAATCCACAGCTAACATCAGCATCATTAATGGCCAAAGACTTACTGCTTTCCCCTAAGATCAGATACAAGATAAGGATGCCACTTCTTGCTAGAGGGCCTAACAAGGTCAATTTGGGCAGAAAAGGAAATAAAAGGCACCCAGATTGGAAAGGAAGGAGTAAAACTATCTCTACTTACAGATAAAGAGCTCTTGTATACACAAAATCTTAAGGACTCTAAAAAAGAGTCCTTACAGGATATAATGATCTACATATAAATATGAACTGTACCCTTATATAGTAGGAATATAGTGATGAACAAAAATGAAGAAAAAAATCCCATTTACAGTAGCGTCAAAAAGAATACTGAGTAATAAATTTAATAAAAAGTACAAAATTTATATTTTGAAAACTAAAAATTATTGTTTAAGAAAATAAGAAATAAATGGAAAGGTATCCACTTTCATGGATCAGAAGACAATACTGTTAAGATGGCAATACCTCCTTAACTGAGCTACATACAGATTCAACTCATTCTCCATCAAAATCTCAGCTGACTTCTCTGGAGAAATTGACAAGTTGATCTTAAAATTAATATGGAAAAGCAAAGACCTAGAAGAACCAAAAAATACTGAAAAAAAAAAAAAGATTAAGTTAGAGGACTCATACCTTCCCAATTTCAAAACTTATTACAGAGCTATAGTAATCAAAATACTGTGGTATTGATAGAAGAATAAACATATAGATCAATGGAATAGACATCCCAGTCCAGAAATAAATCCTCACAATTGTAGTCAATTGTTTTTCACAAGAATACCAAGACAGTAATGGTGGAATAGATGAATAGTGTTTTCAACAAATAAATATATATATAAAAACAAATATGTAATAGATATATCAATATATGATATATATCAACAATAACACAAGCAACAAAATTAAAAATGGGTGACACAGACTGGACATCATTGAAATTTTAAAACTGTGTTTCAAAGGACACTATCAAGAAAGTGAAAAGATAACAATGTACTAGCAGAAAATATTTGCCAATATATCTGACAAGGAGCTTATATCCAAAATAAATGAAAAACTCCTAAATTCTCCAAAAGACTTTTTAAAATAAACAATTTTTAAAATGAGCAAAGGATCTGAATAGACATTTCTGCAAAGAAAATATACAAATGACCAATAAGCACATGAAAAGATATTCAACATCATTAACTACACTGCAAAGAAATGCAAATCAAAACCACAAGAAACAACTTCACACCTACTACGATGTCTAAATTAAAAAGACCTATAGTAAGTGTTGGCGAGGCTATGAAGAGGAACCTTCCCATACAATACTGATACATGTAGAACATGGATGACCCTTTAAAACATCATGTTAGGTAAAATATACCAGTCAGAAAGGATCTATGTAATTCCATGTATATGGATTGTTCAGAGTGGACTAATACATACAGACAGAAAGTAGACTAGTAGATGTTTAGAACTGGGGCAGATCAGGGAATGAGGGAATTGCAGGGTGATAGCTAGGGATATAAGGCTTCCTACTGTAATAAAAATATTCTAATATTGATTGCAGTAGTTTTACAACTCAGTGAATATACTAAAAGTCATTCAATTGTTCACCTTAAATGGGTGAATTGTATGGTATATGAATTATACCTCAGGGATGCTATTTCAAAAAATGATAACTGACTAATTAAAGAGGAAGTCAGCAAGCTATGGCTCACAGGCCAAATTTGGACTACCATCCATGTCTGTAAATAACTTTTTACTGGAACACAGTTAAACTCAACTGTTAATATACTGTCTATGGCTACTACTGTGCTCCAACAGTAGAATGGAAAGTTGTAACACAGACCTTATGGCCCTTAAGCCTAATATATTTACTCTGTTGTTTACAGTTGGCTAACCTTTGATATAAAGCAAAAATAGGAATACTGCACTATGGAGTTTATAACATGTAAAAGTGAAATGTATGACAATAATATCACACAAGATAGAAGAAGGAAATGAAAGTGTATAATTGTAAGGCTCTTACATGATATAAAAGTGACATATTATTTGTGGTAAGTTAAAGATTCATGCTAGAACAACCACACACATACACAATAGCCACTAAAGGCAGGTTACAAAATCCTACTGGGCATAGGATGTTACACCAACACAAAGCAGATGTCCTGTTACCACTGGAGGAAGAGGAAACTCACTCTCACCGAAAACCATCCACACATACATGACAGACTTTGGCTGTTGTGGAAGGATGGACAGAAATGTTGAAAAAAACATACTCCCAAGGCCAAGATTCATTCACAGGACCTGCCTAAAACTGTG